TGCTGAAAAACTGAGCCTTCCTTCCATGGGAAACTGGCACTTGGAAAAACCCTTTCTGTCCTGAATCAGGCGAAAGGGAGTGGTGTAAAGACCCTTAATGAAAGGAAAAGTTTCGGAGGTTTGAATATGAAGCATCTAAATGGAAATTTGTAAAGAAGTGATGCTGCGTGATGGTTGGGGTTCTCCAGATCGGGAAATAAAAAAGGTGCTCAGGGCTGACATTATTAATAGATCCACATTTTCTGCTGGGATAATTCTGTGGTGGCTGCTGAATCCCAGCTCTTGCCTTGGCCGCTCTTGCCTGGGCAAGGCTCCTCGCAGTCCTGTGCTGTCCTGGCTCTTCTCAGGATCCAGGGGATCCAGAGGACAGGCCAGAAGGGTAGATTTAATAGTCCAAATCTCTGCACAAGCCGTAGGATTCCCTGAGCTAGTGCTTGTTAGAGCTGAACACAGGTTCTTACACGAAAAATTTCAATTTAAATGTTTGCAGTGGCAGAGTACCCGCTGTGACTCTGGAGCTGTCCCAAGGGCTGATGTCCTTGCATCTTCTTATGTCTGAATTAGCCCAGCTTCAGCTTCCAAGCATGGAACCACTTCAAACGTTTGGGTGCTAAATCCATGCCATCTACCAACAAATTCTTGTTTCCTGGAGGTGCATGGAGACTTTGGTTGGTCTCTGACAGATTCAAAGAGGAACCAGCAGCAGGCTTGGCTTATTCTTTTTAACAGTGTTTCTCCCCGACATCTTCACAGCGAGGTGCAAAAGAAAACCTGCTGTAGCTTTGCCTTAAGTGTAAGGGCTGGAAGGAGAGCGCAGCGCCGGCACCCCTGGGCTGTCAGACGGTGGGGTGGGGGCCGCGGGTCCCTCCTGCCCTCCTCCGAACTGCAGGCTTGGCCAGCTCTCAGCTCCCTGGCTTTGTAGCAGAGAATGCTGCTTGGGGGCAGAAGACTTTCAGTCTGAATGGGAGTGATTTTTTGGGGCGCATTCAACCGCAGCTGCTTGGGTAATAGCATGGGATGAATTCAATTCCTGCAAGTGGGAGCAGCCGGTGTGTGTGTGGTGGGGTGTGCTTACCGCCCCAGGGCTGAGGAAGGAGCCAAAGACATTTTTGGGCTGCTTGCTTAGGCAGTCTAAATTTTTCCCATTTGAATCACCCTCTGGAGTTAGTTTTGTGTATTGCTAGACTGCTCTCTTCTCCTTGGCAGCTGGAAATCAGCTAGTGAAGATTGTGTCTGCTAGAGCTGCTATAGCTGAGCCTTCCTAGGGCTGCAAATGCTGAAGGCAGTGCTTATTTCGCTAATGAGATTTTGCCATTGGTTTTCTACTTTTATTTTGAAGAAATATTTCTGCCACTCAGAGTTATTTCAAGCCTTCTTTTTACACAGCCTCAAAGTGGGGCCCATCTTTGATGTGGAGCTTCCCCATAATCAAATAATAATACTAATGATGCTGCGAGCTCTGCTGCTGAGATCCCATTAACTGCAGGACGTTTTCCTGGCATGTACCAGCCGTGGGGGGCACTTCTGGTGGTTCGCCCTAGGCACTGGGGATGTGGTTTCGTCTCCCCGCACAGCCGTGTGAGCAGTCACGCGGTCCTCTGTCCTGTTGGCTCACCAGAGCGATGCTGGTAGAAACAAAAGGGGCTTTAGGAGCGAGCAAGAAGAGTGTGTGGAGGTCTGGGCAATCTCCTGTGCAGGGGGACAGAGAGAGACGCAGCCCGTGAAGCACCGGGCTGCTCTGGGAGGCTGGGTGCCTCCAGCCAGCAGAAGACAAGCACTGCAAGATCCCTTGGGTGGGTGGTATATCCCGTGCTGTGATCCAGACCTGCCCAGACCTGAGGTGGCTGCTCTTTGGGCTGTGCTCCTTGACTCCCCTGTTCCTGTTTTTCCTCTCTTTGCAGGCACACATTCTGGCAGTATCGCCGTGAGAACCCCCAGACCAAAGTGGGGGACCCCCCTCCTGATGGGCTCCCCGGCTTCAACAGTGGCGTCCTGCTCCTGAACCTGGAAGCCATGAGGCAGTCCAAGCTCTACAACCAGCTGCTGGAGCCCGCCGTGGTGCAGAAGCTGACAGAGAAGTACCACTTCAAGGGCCACCTCGGGGACCAGGATTTCTTCACCATGGTGGGGATGGAGCACCCAGAGCTCTTCCACGTGCTCGACTGCACATGGAACCGGCAGCTTTGCACGTGGTGGAGGGACCATGGATACAGTGACGTGTTCGACCAGTACTTCCAGTGTGAGGGTGAGGTCAAAATTTACCACGGGAACTGCAACACCCCAATCCCTGAAGACTAGGGCACCCGCTGCCCCCGGGAGCAGCTCTGGCTGCAGCAAGCCCTGCGAAGCCATAGTGGCTGCACCAGCAGTCCCTTGGGAAGGGTGGCCAGCCCTGATCTGTTGCATCCCAGGGGGATCCCTAGGGATCCCAAGAGCGTTCAGTATCCCACTGCCTGTAGCCTCAGCCCTCCAAGAGAAAGTGCAGTCCAGTAGTTGGAACAGGACATTCACAGTCACCATGCCTGGACTCAGCTCCTGGCTCTCACCTGCCTCTGCTTGGGGCAAGTCCACGGTGCCTGTCTGTGCCACAGCCAGCAGGGCATGGGGACAGCTGAGGGCCTTCAGGCAACTCCTGCTTTTGCACATGGCAGGGTGCTGGCTCCGTGGGTGCTGTGCAGCCTTTTCTTGTCTAATGATCAGCAGGAGGCCACAGCTGGGCAGTTGGGTTTCGTTTTGGCATTCATTGGTGGCCCGTTTCTGCATCTCATGCAGAGCATTCGTCTGGTCCCTCTAGAGAGCAGACACCGTCCTCAGGTCATCTTCCTTTTGAAGCATTCCAGAAAGGCGAGAGGGTTTTAAAGACTGAAAAGCTGCTTTAAATTGGGTTACTTACAAACAAAAATTGAATGCTAGATGAGCTTTAAAGCCTCCCATTTGTTCTTCTTAGCAATAAAAGCTTTACTGCCCTATCTTGTCTTAAAAGTGTTCAGTGAGCGTGTACCAATAGGTTCATTTTTCTAGCTTTGCCTTTAACCTTTTGTACAAGAATAAAGCTGCGGATGTAAAACACACTCGGCTGTTTTTCTGTGGCACAACTGAAGCCCTGTGTGATAGGAGGTTTCATGCTCTTCTTATCATGATTAAAAAGTAGTTGATGTATATCTGTTGGGCAGTTGAATGTGGTGCCGCCTGTAGCTGATTGCTGTGATTATCCCACGTCTGTCCCAAGCAAGTGATGCAAATAAGCAGGTGGGCACACAAACTGAGTTTTAAAAAAAGATCATCATCACTGTAGCCAGGGTTGGTTTGGAAGGAGCTGGGAACTGCCTGTGCTGTGAATGAGCAGGCTTCAGGCATGAGCACTCTGCTCCCTCGATAAATCCTGTCTCAGCTGGCCCGGCCGGCGTGAGCAAGCTCCTGCGCAGGGCTGTCAGAGGAGGTGGACCCGCGCATTAACCCACTTTCAGCCCTGCTTTTTTGACACTGAGCTGGCGCGTGCCTGTGTGCGTGCATGCCCCTGTGTGCATCTGCGTGACACGCACGTGCAAGAGAGAGGGATGGGAACTTAATTATGGCTTAACCTAGTAACAGCCCATGCAGTGTGTGGCAGGAGTTTCCTGGGCTCCTTCCCCTGTGTCGGTGAATCAATGTCTGTCTTTACTGAGGGAGAGGCTCTCCTCCCTCTAACTGATGGGAACGGCAGGCTGAGATGCAGGCTGCAGCCCTAGCCCTACCCTTTCATTTGCTGAACTGATCCATTTCCAAATAGCACAGAAGCTCTGCTTTAACTACTTTCGCATCCCCAGGGAAGGAACTGCGAAGAGGTGATTAAGGGCTAGTGAAAGAAGCAATAGCCTGCTGTATTAGACTCACATTTTCACCAAACCCCAAGGTGGTCAGGCCTCGCTGTGCAAGGCAAGCAGCCAGGGTGCTGGAGGCCGCAGCGGGCAGGATTCAGGGCAGGCGATGCACCATGATGATGCACCCTGAAGGACAAGGAGGGTTTGCAGTGGCTCAGCCAGCCAGAGCTGCTGCTGTGCCCGGAGGGCACGCATCATCCCGGGAACTCCGGAGGGAGACTTTGCTCAGTCCGTGCCCGCTCTGGCTTAGGTGTGAGCTGGGTGGGGACATCCCAGCGTTGCGTGGTCAGGAGCAGCCCCGGGAGCCACCCACCTGGCCCCTGCCCTGGCAGTGCCACAACGCTTTCCCAGGTGAAACAGAGAGAGGGCAGGGCTTCCTGGTGCCGTGTCACAGTCCCATGGTTGGCACTGGCGCTTCATCACCGCCCTGGCATGCCCCAAGGCCCCTGCGATTGCCCTAGGTGGCTCCCGGGGCTGCCCCATGTGCACAGCCCCTGCCGTGCCCGGGTTGCTGCTGCAGGGACTCAGCCCTGTGCTCACTGACTGAGGCATGCCGGTGGCACTGGTGACACACGGCCTCTCGTGCCAGGGCAGGACCTTGCCTCAGTTTGGAAATGGCCGTGCTGGAAATACAGGCCAGGTGGCTCGTGTCACCGGCCCTGGGGAGCGGCAGGGCGATGAGCAAACGCAGTTATTCAACGGGGCTGAGCAGCTCTGGGGTGGCTCCGGGTGTCAGGGCTGGCCCGAAAGCACTGTGGTGGGTTTGGGATGGCACTGCCACAGGGTGACACCGAGGCTGCCAGCCTCGGGAGCCAGGGCTGCATGGGGTCGAGTGCCCCCCTGCCCCACAGCCGCCCCTGGAGCTGGGCCAGGCGCTGGGCACCCTCTTCCTGTGGCCGGGGGATGCTCTCCACAGGGTTGGGAGCACCTTTCCCTCTCTGTGGGGTCCTGGGGGCTGCGAGGGGGGGTACACCTTCATGCGGCCACCCTGGCACCCAGGCTGAAACCTTTTGCTTAGGTATTTTGCAAAAAAAAAAAATGTTTCCAGTTTTTTCTGTGCAAAATGGCAGTCTGCTGGGAAACTCACTGCATTTTTTCAGCTGGAAAAAACATAGTAAGCAAAGCATTTAATTCAGCTTGGGGTGGTTTTCCCCAGGCCCTGCAGACGGCCCAGCAGCGCAGCTCCCCATGCAGTGGTGCCTGTACCGCTCGACCCGCACAGTCCCCAGGGCCGTGACTAAGCACGGCAGGCGGCGCAGACCCGCACAGTGCTATATATAGACCCTGCACGCAGCCTGGGCCGTGCTGCCTGTGTAATTATCCCCCCTTCGTGCCCTGCTGATTGCAGGCACTAATGAGCTCAGCTGCAGAAGCCAAGCCGCTGCAGCAGCCTGGGGCCGAGTGGCGTGGGGCTGCTGGCTCAGTCTTCTCGAAGGGTGCTGCCACCGGGTCCGCTTTGGGGCAGAAGCAGAGCTTCTGTGCTTGGCCAGGGTGGGCAGCACCCCTGCAGGCACCCCACAGCCAGTGCCTGCGTTTGGTGCCCAGCCAGCTGGTGGCTGCTGGGCCATCCCATGCCCTTCTTTCAGTGGTAATTCGTGGAAGAATTGGAACTTTCCATCCCCATCCCTCCTCACACTCCAACACCTTCCTGCTGTGCAGCCCAGCCTTGGGCAGACGCTGCTGCAGGTGCACGAGGCCAAACCTAAGCATCCCCTCCTGGTCCCCGTGACATTGGACTGGGTCCATCGCAACCAGCACTAGCGACCGCTAGCACAAGCAGGGTAAAAGATGCTCAGAGAGCGTTAAGCAGCACCAGTTTGCTGCTGGGCACCAGGGGTTTGCAGCAGTGACCCTGCAGCAGTGGCCTTGGGGCTGACCGGCAGCTCCTGGTCCCCAGGGGCTGGCACCATGTCCTCGGGCCAGCGCTGGTCCCCTGCCTAGCAAAGGGGATCTGCAGACTCCAGAGCCTGTTTTCGGGTTGGTTGGGGCCCCTCTGGAGACACGGCAAGTGAAAGACAGCCTTGGGCGAGTGGCAGGTGGGGACACACTGCTGTGACACACAGCGATGGGGGGACGCAGCTGTGGGGAGCAGGGGACCGGCCCTGCCAGCACGGGCTGGCTGCAGGGGATGGGGCCGTGCCCCGCGGGCCATGGGCGTTGCACCCACGAGAGAGCTGCAGTGGCCCTGGCCAGGGCCCGTGAAAGAGGACAGTGGGTTTTACACCAACACTACTCAGCTCAGCTCCTCCGTCATGCCTATGGCTTCACGCTCCTTGTCTTCTCACCCGCTTGCTCACAGCAAAGTGCTGCTCGTGCTGAGAGCCCCATGTTTTTCCAGGACAGAGAAGGAGACGGGAGAGCAGAGGGGTCTCCTTGAACTCTTTGTGGAAGATCAGGCTGTGGAAAGTAGCTCTGTAGCTTGAGCTTAAGGAGAAAATTCAATTTCTTTTCTGGTATTGTTCAGCATTCGTGAGAAATTGCACGTAAAGCAAATAGTATTCCCTATTTTCTGGCCAGCTTTGCTTTCAGCCTTGCGCTTGAGCTGCATAGGATTTTTGCTCTCCTCTCCTGTGTTTCGTAACACTGTCAGTGTTTATTCTCTTACTCATTTGTACTTCTTTCCCATTTGAAACGATCAATTGTTGGTATAAACTCACCTAGGGAGCAATTACTGTAAGCCTAACCCAAACAGGCGCTGGGGGTGCTCCATTAAGCAATATAACCACCCTCCCCTCTCTGCTGCTCCCAGAGGATACAATATTTACTTTTCAGCTCTCTGCTATTCATACCGAGCGCACTCCGGTCAGCGTGCCAAGAATAACACGAACCATAACAACTGGCTTAAGCGCCGAGATGGAGTTCCTGACTTTGCAAAACCAAAAAAAAGCCAACCTATTATTTTGCCTCCCCTAAGAAATGCCTGGCTGCAGCAGAGCGAGCGGGCGCCCAAACCACCCCTCTGCCTTCAGCAGAGCCGTGGGCAGCATGAAATCTGCCCCGAGGGAACACAGAAAGAGGCAAAAAAAAGAGCAGTAAGCCTGGGACACGGGTTGGCGACTGCTGGTTTTTCCTCTTAACGCAGATTTTTGTTAGGTTGCTGCATTGTTTTGGGAGCTTTTCCTCAAACGCTCTGCAGAGCTATGGAGGGACATGTTCCCTAGCACCTCACTTGTTAATATTTCAGCCAGGTTTTTAGTACCTCCATTTCTGACCATCATGAGCCACCGTGGCTTTAATTACCAATTGCTAAGAAATTGCTGCCAGGTCTTGTTAGTCTTTTCAGTGCCGTCAGGGTTCAGTTTGTGCAATTCTCCTCTGGAAATTATTTATTCGCTAACCAGCTGCTAATGGGGGCAGCACTTGGAGCAAATTACCTTACTGAGATATTTCACGGGAATTAGCTATATTGTACCTAAAGTCTCAACGTTAATTTAGGCAATTTGCCTGTCGGAAGAAAAAGCTGAAACAAAGCAGAGTCTGGAG